TAATGTCACCTTCACTTCCATATATATTTCTCTACCCTACCTAAATAGCTATCCCTTAACAAAATAAAAAGAAATACATTTAAGCAAAACTAACCAATATATCAACCAGTTCCAATAGCGTATGGGAACTATTCCACATCTGTAGCTCCGCAAAGGTACATTGTCCTGTCTCTTCTTCAGGGTCAAGCTTGAGCATCATAATTACACAGTACTGGGGCACAGGAGTGGAGATTTGTTATTGTTTTTGCCATGTTCTTTCCATTTACATTATTGTAGCTTTTGCATATGGTGTTTTCTTGCTTCTGTTTAATGAACTTTGCATTGTATTCTTGGCACACATGGTATGTTATAGTAATACTCCATTACATTTCCAGTCGTTTGCTACTACCAAAAAAAAAAAGTTGCAATAAATATTTTAGTTGATAAGGAACTGTGTAAGATGTCATTTTAAAGATGACCACTGAACACTGAATTAGAAGACCTGGGTTTTAGCTTTGATTTTAGTGGCTAATTAGCTCTGAGGTCTTGGCAAGTCATTGAACTTTCCTAGATCTCCGTTTCCTCATATGTCAAATGAGGAGATTGTACTAAAATGTCTCTAAGTTTCCTCTCAGCTTAACATTCTATGATTTGATATGGAGGTACCATAGCCTATCTTACTCATCTCAGTCTTCTCAGGAAAAGGTCCTAGAAAGCATCAATGACATGCTATGAAAAGAGGTGTCAGGGGAGAAGGCAAGGAGCCACCAAGAAAAAGAAAGAGGTTAAACAATGGTGAGAGACAGATGTCTCCTGTACCCTACCCACCCCTCTCTGAGAAAGAAAAAACCCAAGGCAGCAGCCTGGCTTCAGGCTTACCTGAGGATTTCCAGTGAAGTCCCTCACACCAGAGCTGTTAAGAGAACCTCTCACTGCTGCTGCTACTGTTTCTAGTCCTAGACTCTTGAGATTTCTTCATCAAACCTATTTCTGTCCCTTGGCTCACCCAAGATCAAGATTATTTTTCTTTTCTTTTTTTTTTTTTTTTTGGCAATTGGGGTTAAGTGACTTGTCCAGGCTCACACAGCTAGTAAGTGTGAAGTGTTTGGTCTGAGGTCAGATTTGAACTCAGTTCCTCTTGACTTCAGGGCCAGTACTCTATCCACTGCGCCACCTAGCTGCCCCAATCAAGATTATTTTTCAAAGGGACACTAGTAACTAAGAGGAAGAAGATAAAATAAAACCATTTAGAAAATTATAAAACTCAAATCACAGAGCCTGGAAATCTTATCCTGAGATGTCCCTATTCCAGCCATTGATGGCCAGCATGGTTTCTGGGGCTATCTCACCTTCACTGTCAACTAATTTTCATCTAGGCCCAACTTTATGATATGGCCTCCCTATGGGTTTGTCTTTGACCACCTCTTCTCCTCTGATGCTTTCTGTATCATAGCAACATAAGTCTAGAACTGAAAGGAACTTCAAAGGGCATCTACCTAATACCTTCATTTTATAGATGAGGAAATGAAAACTCATTTTCGTTTAGGTTAGGTGATTTGCCCATCACAATTAGGAAATATCAGAGGTAAAATTTAAATTAAACTTGAAATTAAAAACAGATCTTCAGATTCCTCGAGCTCTGACCCATGAATTCATTTGGGTTCCTGACCCACTTCTCCTACTGCTTGAGCGTGAATGTCCTTCTAGTACCTCAAACTCAACATGTCCAAATTCAAGCTCATTAATTTTCTCATTCCTCTTCAGATGTCACATAGCACTTTGTTTTGCAACTCTAATGTATTCAGCATGTAATATTTAAGATTATAGCTATCTGTGCTTCGTGCCTTATACTGTAAACATGATGGAGGAAGGAATTATGTCAATCATAAACTTGGATACCTTTCTAAACACCTCAAAAAGGGCTGTGCACACAGTAGGCAGTTCAGTGTTTGCTGAATGAATGAATGTACTGGCAAACATACCATCTTTAGAAAAGATCTAACATGTGAACCTCCCTGCCAGCCCAGAAATGCATTCATCTTCTCTTCAGATGCAAAGCTGGTTCCTCTCCTCGATTCTCTTAGTGAGTCAGCCTAGAATTCAGGCTGCTCACATGGAGAGTGGGGATGGGGTGGGATAGGGTGGGATGGGGTGGAATGGGGTGGGATGGGGCTTTCCTCCTCAGCTTGTTTGCTGAGGGGGGCAGGATGGAGACAGGAGTTGCAGGATGATACCAGTTGGTTCCAATTATACATTTCACACCTGCCCTAGCCAGCTGCTGATTCCTTTCTCTATCCACAACCTGGAAGTCATTTGGCCCCCAGAGAAGTAAATAACCACCTTGTCATAGTCCAATTTAACAACTTTTACAAAGTCAAAAATGCAGTATTAACATACATAATGAATTGCACCAAAAAGGAAGGGTCATTTTTTATATCTCCTTCAGGGCTGAAATCCTAGGAAGAACAAAGGACACGACATTTAGTAAGACCCAGAATTTTGTACACAGTAGGTGCTCAGTAAATGTTGCAATTAATTTTTTTTCTTTGCAGGAGGAGAGTGTGGAGGTGATGCCTTTAATTTGGAAGGCATCTTTCATTCTAATTCAGGGATTCCTAACCTTTTTATGCCATGGGCTTCATGGTAAAGTCTATGGACCTCTTCGCAGAATAATTATTTTTAAAAGCTTGAAACAAAATACATGGGAAACTAACTATATTAAAAATATGGTTATAGAAAAAAAAATTAAAGTTCACAAACCCCAAGTTAAAAATCTCTTCTCTAAAGAGATGGAGTAACTGACATGGGGACCAGTGGAAAGGAAATGAGATGCTAATCTGGCTGTCTGGAATTCTGGGATTGATGTTGGAAAGAAAAGTAAAAGGCAAATTGCAACTATTTTTCCAGGTTGTCTAGACTAGTTCACCAAGGAAGAAGGGGGAAATAAGGACTCAGGAGAGACCCTGGGTCAAGTAATAGAGATCATTGAACTAGCTGAATTTCCTTTGTGTTCTGTCTTTTAGGAATTTAATGAAGGAAGCAGAGATGCAAAAAAAAAACTCACAGGAAAACCATGATATTCTTGAGATGAACAATCAGGCCCAGAGTTGGCCCTGGGAAAAATTGTGAAATAATAATAATAAAGGCTTCTTCCTAGAGTACATTAAGGATTTTGATGGACTTTATCCTAACCCAGTATGCTAAGTAATATCATTGTCTCCATTCTTTTTACAGATGAAGAAACTGAGACTAGGAAATATGAAATAGTTTGCCCATAGCCATCCAAAAAGTGAATGAGGGGGGCAGACTTCTCTAGCAGGCTGCCTTGATGTTTCTCTTTGAGTTCCTCACGTCCCTATTCAGCAATCCTACTCTACAATTCCTCTTGTTCAAAGACTTGGTGCCCCCACAATGGCCCAGAAAATGATATTGCAAGTCAATTATATTTAATTGGCAGAAAGTTTAATGAGTCAAGAATATGATGTGACTTCTAAAAGAAATGAATACAGTCTTAGGCTGTAGTCATAACCACATAATGTTCTGATCAAGGGAAGTGATCATCCCACTGTACTCTGGCCTGGCCATACCATATTTACAATATTGTTTTCAGTTCATAGGCCCATAGGATTTGGAGCTGAAAGGAATCTTAGTTATCATTCTGTCCAATTCTCTAATTTCACATATGAGAAAATGAAGACCCAGAAAAGTAAGGAAAAACTTCCTAACAATTAGTGTGGTCCAGAAGTGGAATGAATGGGCTACCTCCGGGAGCAGTAGGTACCCCTTGCTTGAGGTCTTCAAATAGAGGCTGGGCACCTTTATTGGGCATGTTGTAAAGGATGGGCTTAATAACCACCTAGTCTTCCAGTTCCAGCATCCTCTGACATCTGTAAGTCTCCCAACAGCTAGTTCAATAAAACTCAATCACAGGTATACCAGGTACTACTTGAAAGCTCAGCCAGGCAGCGACATTTGTTGAAGACATTTGTTTTTTATTGTCCCATAACTACATCTGAATGGCTTTTAGTATAAATGTCAGCCTGTGGGAGCAAGGGGGTAAGACCTGTACAGCCCTGCTCCAGATCCTGCCTGGTGGTATGAGCTGAATGGCTTTTGGTGGGAGGTTTCTTTCTGTCTGTGTAATTTTGGTCAAGTTACTTCATTAGTCTGAGCCTCAGCTTTCTCATCTATAAAATAGGAAGGTTGGACCATATAGTCTCCTAATCCTAAGTCTCTTCCAACTCTAAATCCTAAAGTCCTCTGCCCAAACAACTCAATATTTTTTTGCCTTTTTGGTGAGGGAATCAAGGTTAAATGACTTGCCCAGGGTCACACAGCTAGTAAGTGTTAAGTGTTTGAGGCCGGATTTGAACTCAGGTCCTCCTGACTCCCAGGCTGGAGCTCTATCCACTGTGCCACCTAGCTTCCCCTCAACTCAATTTATTTCATGCCATAGGAGGTGGTATGTTGTTATGGAAAAGCACTGTCTCTGGAGTCAGAGAGTCTGGGTTCAAGTCCCACCTTGGATCCTGTGTGACTTTGGGCAATTACTTAAACTCCCTGGGCCTCAGTTTCCTTATCTGTAAAATGAAAGGATTGGAGTAGATGGCCTCTGAGATCCTTTCCAGCACTGAATCTATGATCCCACCAGCCTATGAACAGTTGACCAAGGTGGTGCTAAGCTCGAATTTCTTGTTGGCCTTTCCAACAAAAAGGACTATACTGATCCCAAAGTCTAGAGCATTGGATTAGAGATGTGTCAAAGCTAGAGCCAGCTCAGTGAATGAAGTTCCCCTAAATCACTTTTAGATTTAAGGCCCTCTTCTTGCTTGAAGCTACCCTATTCTCCCTCTATCTTCCTACTCCATACTAACTACCCATCCATGAGTATCCTAAGCATCTCTAAGTGGGAAGGACCCTACTGGATGGAACTGAGAATGGATAGGCCAGCAACCACTGCTCAGGTTGTAAAAGCCCCTGCCTGAAGGTGTTCACTGAAAACAGAATTCTGTCTGTTCCAGGCCCTGCTGAAAGACCCTCTGTATATTGGACTGAAGCACAAGCGCGTACGTGGGAAAGAGTATGATGAATTGATCGATGAGTTCATGCAAGCAGTGACTGACAAGTAAGCAGGCCACTTTTTTTTACCTTAGTTTTGAAACAGGACATGATGGGTGTTCTCCTTTTAAGATATAATCAAGACCTAATGTCAACAGTGGTTGGGATCAATATACAAGCAAGAGCCCCTAAGTGCTGGCCCCCTGGGTGGTCTAGAAATTAAATCTTGACCCTGAGTGGTTAGAGGCACCCAGCCAAATGTGCTTGTTCACTGTAAGAGTCTGGGGGAGATGGAAGCCGTGGGGAGAGAATGGCCTTAGGATGTGGGGGTTCCTCTGTCTAAAGGAGGAATTCGTCACCTTTTTTATGTCATGAACCCTGGTTGGTGAAGCCTGTGGACCCTTCTTCAGAATGTTTGTAAATGTGTGAAATAAGATACAAAGGATTACAAAGGAAATCAATTACATTGAAATCCAGTTATTAATGTATTTTTTTCAAGTTCATAGACTCTAGCTTAAGGACTTCCAGTCTAGAGTTAGTCACCCTACATTCTGAAAGGAAAACTACCCCACCTCCAGCTAGCTGGGCACTGGAGCTCCTGTGTAAATCATACAATCTCGAAGTTGGAAAGGACCCCAGCAACCACCTATTCGAACCCTTATGTAAATAAGACTCTCTTTCACAGTGTACCTGGTAAGTGTAATTGGGGCCTTTGCTTAAGGACTTCCAGTGAGTATGAAAAAAAGCTATTTCCTGAGATGGCCCAATCTACTTCTAGATAATTCCCATTATTAAGATTTTCCTCACATCACCTTTGCTCCTTTGCATCTTCTACCAATTGCTTTGGGACCAAAGAGAACAAGTCTAATCCCTCTTTCACATGACAGTCTTTCAGGTTCTTGGAAATTTTGAAATCATTCTCCCTTGTTCAGTCTCCTCTAAGATAGCGTGACGTGAATTGTGCTATCCCGAGGAGGAGAAAGAAGGAAATGTACCCCCCGGACTAAATGGCTTTGGAAAGAGGCCTGGTACATTAGCATGCATTTTCCACCTCTGCCCAAGGGCCAGGTGATATTAATGTGCAGCCACCCGGGCTCTTGATTTGTAAGATTTATGAGGTGTTGTCCCTCAAATGTTTTTCTCCCCTGGCTCTTTGCATTAAAAGGAGCCCCATAAGTGATGGGAATTAGCCTCTTCCTCCAGTCTCTCCTTCCTGAATCCCTCTCTTTGACAGGCGCCAGCCACACCTGTCAGTCTTCATTGCCACCTCCTTAGCATGCTGGTTTCTCCAAAATGCTGGCTGTATCCCGTGGACTCCCTGGGCAGTTCTGTCTGAATCATTCAGGCAATTTTAGGGCCTCCCCCACCCTGCCCCATGTCATAGCCTCAGCTGAAAATTGCCTTGTTTTCCCAGCATCCCTCAAAGTTCTTGTCATTTCAGTTAGAAACCCTGGTAAGGGCCTCCAATACTAAAACAGGTCAATAGTCACACCAGACCAGGAACTGGAGGTAAAGTGTGTTTTTTGCCTCTGCCCCTAACAAGTTAAGTCCTAATCAAAATGACGAGGGAGATAAAATTTATCTTTGGTGTTCCTGCCTTATAAATATTCCATCTTCTTTTCTGGACTCCTGTAATTATAGCTTTCATTTACTATAAAGCACTTTACACACACCATTTCATTCCCAACAGCTCAATATGGTAAGGAATACAAGTCTTTCTTCTGGATGTGGGATTTTATGGGTGTAGGAAGCTCCCAATGAGGAAACCCTCTCCACCAGTATAGATCCTTAGTCTTTGAGAGTTGTCTGGGACACAGAAGTTAAGTGACTTACCCAGGGCTACAGAGCCAGTATGGATGAAGAAGAATCTGAAACCAGGTCTTCCTAACTCTGAGGTAAGCCGGGATTCCGTGCTGCCTTATGATACAAGTGTTAGTGACCATGTTCATGTTTTATAATTGGGGAAATTGAGGCTCAGAAGTAAAGTGACCTGCTCATCTAGTAAGTGGCAAAGTCAGGACTCAAAAGAAAGTCTTCTGGCTCTAAATCCTATATTCCTTCTATTACAACATGCTGCTTCTTCCCATTATATGCTTCACTACCCCAAACTGTCATCCCTGGCCAAGGACCTTTATGCTTTTCCTACCACCTCCCAATGTTCTCTCAAGGCCACACTGAATTTACCCATCCTTTATCTGATCCCCTTGAGCTTTAAGATGTCTGTTTCATATCAGTTAATCAACCACTACAATTAATGTGCTTAATAAAGCAGCATGGGGTAGTAGAGTGAGTTAGAAAGAATAGGATTCAAGGGACACTTCTGGCGCTTACTATAGCCATTATGACAACCACTCTGAACATCTGTTTCCTCATCTGAAAAACGAAGATCTTGAACTTGATGACCTACAGTGTTCCTTCCAGCTCTAAATCTGATTCTAAGACTTTATGCTTAGAGTCAGTCCTAGATCTCAGGTTACTAAGTCAGGTAAAATAAGCTAGAAGTGGGAAAGCCATTTAACATCCAGATCTCAAACTAGTGAAAAGCTGAGAAAGAGACCTCCCATCAGTTCCCACAAGATGTCATGAAATTCCTTGAAGTGAAGCTTTCAAAGGGCAGTGTGGATGGGGCAGCTAGGTGGTGCAGTAGATAAAGCACCAGCCCTGGAGTCAGGAAGACCTGAGTTCAAATGGGGCCTCAGACACATAATACTTTCCTAGCTGTGTGATCTGGGCAAGTCACTTGACCCCAATTACCTCATTAAAAAAAAAAAGGCAGTGTAGAGACTCCATGGTTTAGCCAGGAAATGGCAACCTAAGAGAGGTAGGATGATGTAATACACACACACACACACACACACACACACACCCTCCCATGAAGTAGCTGGAAGAACAATAATGGACAATAATTGCCACCAGGTGACAGATTGGGACATATCTAGAGAAGGATGATGTGAGTAGTGAGGGGACTGGAGTCCTGACTTGAGGCCCTAGGTATCAGTATTCAAAGCACTGGTAGAAACCTGGTAGTCACCATTTCAAAACAGCAAGGTGGGAAGAGATAGGAAATTGTACTATGAATACTTAGAGCTTGATAGATTTCTGTGTATTTGCATAGTTTAAAGCACCATATAAAGATGAGCTATTATTAAATGCCATAATAATGGGGAGAAGGCAAAACCACTTGATTTTTGTGTTGTTTCCACTTTGTTGTCCAAAGGGAAGGCTCTGTGACCTGGGAGGGACAGGACACAAACATGTAATGGGTGAACCCCAAGACAAGTGAAATGACGGCAAGAGAGAACCTAGCTGCCCCCAGTTTATTCACGTCATTAGGCCTAGTGTAACTCCCTCTACAAATATGAAAGAAATTGATAAATGTTTGTGTTGAGCCATCGTCAGTGGTCTTTGAAAACTCAGATAGAACTGGAGAGGCAGCAAAGGACTAGAGCAGGGCAAATATCTCAATTTCCTCCCTTCCCAAAATAAAGGAAGAGTATGGGAGCTTCAACCTAGACAAAATTCTAGACTGTCTTTTAAAAGGGATAGTTTGTTAGCTTTTTGAAAGGAAAGCAGGGATGGCCAAGAGTCAGGCACAGCTTCCTTAAGAGTAAGTAACAGTGTTTCTGTCTTGGAAAGGTCTTCAGTGGCCATCTATATGAAAAAGGATTTTTCTCCAAAATAAATCCATAACATTCTTTCTTTGCTTAAAGACCTCCACAGAGAGGGAACCCATTACTCCCAAGACAATCTGTTCCCCTTTTGGATAGCTATAACTGTTTAGCAGTTTTTCTTCCCATCAAGATTAAATTTACAGCTTTGCGACTCCTACCCATGATGTCTAGTTCTGTTTCACGGAGCCAGACAGAACCTGTTTAATCCCTCTTACACATAACATCCTTTTAGAAACTTAAAGGTAGCTATCATCTACCTCCTCCCCCTGCCTACAAGTCTTCCCTCCAGGCTAAACATCTCCAATTCATTCTAGTCATGGAAGTCATCCTGGAATAATCTTGTCTCCATTAACCAGGAAGAAAAGAAAAATGCTAGAGATTATACTTGTATTTTAGCAAAGCACATAGAGCAGGGGTGGGGAACCTGTGGCCTCAAGGCCCCAGATGACCCTCTAGGTCCTCAAGTGAGACCCTTTAGCTGAATCCAAACTTCACAGAACAAATCCCTCAGTGCTTAGGGACACAGAACAAAGAACATAGAGTATGACTTAGATTTAAGCAAAGTGCTTGACAAAATCTATCATACTAACTTTATGACAAGATAAAAAGATGTAGGCTACAAAGTAATAGGTAGATTCTAAACTAGTTGAATGACCAAATCCAAACAATAGTCTTTGATGAATTGGCACCAACTCGGAGAAAGTTCCCTAATGCAGTGCCTCACATACCTATGCTTAGCCCTCTGCTGTTCTACATTTTTCAAAATGACTTGATGAAGATGTTTCCAAGTGACACAGATCTAAAAGCGATAGGATAACAAAGCTGGAATCCATAAGGATCTTAATAGACTAGAGCAATGGGTCAAACATAATAAAACAAAATTTATGCGATCAGTTATCAATCAATAAACATTCACTAAGTAATTACCATGTGCCAGGCTCTGTGCTAAGCACTGGGGATACAAAAAGAGGCAAAAGACACTCCTTGGCCTCAAGGAACTTAGAATCTAATGAGATAAATATAAAGCCCTACACTTGCTTTGAGAAGATCAGCTCATGAGTACAGAATGGAAGAGATGTATAGCTAAACAACAGTGTAAAAAGCACCTGGAGAATTAATGTAGTCTGGGAAATATTATACATATATCAAATGAATCAACAATATGAAATGACAGCCAAAAAATGTCAACTCAGTCTTCAGCTGCATTGAAAAAAGAAAGTTAGAGTGTGCACAACAAGGAAGATAATTGATCTGATGTATTCTGGTTTTGTCAGACCATATATGGAATATTACATTTTAGGATGGGAATTGACAAGTTGGAGGGCAAAGAACAGCAAAGATGGTGAGGAAGCCATGCAAGGATTATTTGAAAGAACAGGGATTGCTTAACCTAGAG